TATTATTTAATCAAATCTACGGGTTCGAATCCACCCGATGTAAATTAAATGTTGTATCTGGTTATTTACATTTGATATGGATTTGACCTGTTGATCCACAGATAATAACACACACTCGTGTGTATTTGTGATTAGTGGATAATTATTTAATCAAATCTACGGTTCGAATCCACCCGATGTAAATAACCAGGTGTAGCAAGAAAAAGGAAAAAAAAACATTACTATTGCATTTCTTTTTTGGTACAATACATTTTATTATACTATGAGCTATGTAATTGTTAGGTTTTTTCAAAGTATAATGCATTTTTTAAATGATGAAAATAGTTTTATTTATTATAAGAATTAATATGAATTTTGTCAAATGTGTTTGAATAGAACACATCTCCAAAAATTAGTTCAACAAAAGAGATTGTTCAATTCACATATAAATGTTGCAAAATTCTACCAATTTGAGGGACGTGGGACAAAAACAACTAATAACATAATTAAGATTTTTGCGATAAAAGAAAATCATCGAATCGTTCTGCAAAGAATGACCTAGTAGTTGTAGCAAGTAAGTTTGTGTCCATTAACCCAAGTTTAAATCTTCTTACAATAGTCATTAGATCGAGTCGAATTTATCACACATGATTAGCCTAACGTTGTTAACGTATCTCACATGATTTACAAACTATTATTTTAGTGCACAAAGAAAAATAACCTTCTTTTATTTTCCCCCAATTTTGGTTACAAAGAAACAAATGGCTTAAGTGGGTGTGAACATTAAGACAAGTGTCTATATTGACAACGTAAATGAATGACAGCCAAAACTTGTCTTTTACAACATCAAAACCAAATGGTAAACATGCATAGGATCACTAATTCAACCAAGACTCCCTATAAAAACTAATTCAATACCCTATTTACACCATAAACACACACACACACACAATTTATTATATAAATTAATTAAATATTTACCATCTAAATTGTCATGGGTTCCAACAAGGCTAGTCATGTCATTTCTGTTCTTGCCCTCGTGATACTTCTTTCAGTACTATCCCACGCGGTGGAAGACGGCGGCATTGCTCCTTCTCCGGCGATGGTCACTGGTGGTGCTACTCGCGCTCCGCCGCTGCCGCCAGTTGTTGCTCTGATCACTGTCTCTCTGTGGTGCTGTGTTGGTTTATTTATGTTCTAACCTTGCATTGATGTTGTAAATTTAATCCCACTTTTCTTGGTTATAATAATTTCAGTTTTGTATTTCTGTGTTATGAATTTTGTAAATTTAATCCCACTGATCGTCAGTGGTTGTAGTTCGCATTGTTATGAAAATTGAAGAAAATAATATGAACAAAATTAATCATGCCAATGAAAGCATCAAGGGGTTGTTATTAATTCTGTTTGACCTACATTCTCTAGAGAGAGAGAGAGAGAGAGAGAGAGAGAGAGAGAGAGAGAGAGAGAGAGAGAGAGGGGTGTGACTAATAATGATACTGCATTTTACTAATCAAAATCACCTAAGTTTATAAACCAAAAAGGAAGTGTAGTTATCTTCTCTCTCTAAGATTCAAAAAATTGATCTGCATTTGCGCTGGCTGTGCTACGAACTTTTCCACTAACTGCAGATATTATGTCTTACTTTCCGATCGGATATACGTAAAACCACCACCACGGCTAGGGTTGACATTGGGCTGAGCACCACCACGCTTCCACTGCAAGCTTCTTCCACCACCACCGTGCTTAATTGGTATACGAGGCCTATATAATCTCGGAACACCTCCTGCGAAAGGAACTCTAGCGGTATTACGTGGCGGCCACCATATTACGGGAGATGCAGCCTCAACTTGGGCAGAGCTTTTCTTTACAATCTGAAAGTAATATTCACACAATATTATTTCTCAGGAAATAAATCTTGATGTTCAATAATAATCCCCAAAATTTATTCAAGTAGATGATAAAATTCGCATACATCCTGCTTTCCTATGTGTTATTTTGCTGATCAATATACACAAAAGGGCAATCTCGAATTACAAATGAATTCGAGCTGACTAAACTTTCTACAAACGATTTTTTTTTTCAATTCGATCATTTAAATGTTCCTTACAGTACGCTCGCCTAAAGGAATTCGAACACCAACCTCTCCGCGCGCGCACAAACACACATATATATACAATATATATGGAATATATAACATGGTTATATACAACATACCCCACACACACACACACATGTATATATACAAGTATAAATGTATATTAGAGAGGGAGAAGCATACCTTGAGAATACGAGACATAAAAGAGGTGCCATCGAAAGATAAAGCCTGTTCCGACGCTTCTTTCCTCGTGAATTCTATATAAGCTGACCTGAATAAGCAAAAATTGTATTTTAGAATCATATATTTAAACAGAAGGAACACCACATAAGAAAAACAACGCCTCTCTGAAACACCTAACCCCATTGGTTGCCCGGTAGTTGGATCAGTTGAAATAATCACTTTTAGTACTTCTCCGGACTTGTTGAAATGCCGTGCAAGGCTATCCTTAGTGGCAGCAAAATGAACCTAATAGATGAAGTAATTCGGCGTCAAACGAGAGAAATAGAACAGGTAAGAAAGACTGATAATTCTCGTAGATTAAGGTTTTAGACTCAATATGCGGGTGATTACATTGCTAACAAAGATGGTCCTTGAATCGGCATCTTCCACAGGTGGACCAGTAGAACGTAAACCTGCACCAGACAACTGTTTAGACTCGATTTGGGGCTCATAAAATTAGGACATGATCTATTAATACGATAAAATAGCAATAGTAAAACATGTAACATGGAATCAACCTAACCAATATAAAGAAAGACGAATAAAAGTATGCATATGCTCTAATGAAGAATCTTTAAAATAACTCGAGTTTCAAAATTACCAGTTGGCGTCTGAGTCTGTTGTGATTCATGCTGAGGAGCCGTGGCAGGTTTGGCCTATGACCAAGCAATTCAGAAGAAACAGTGAATAAGTGTAATAACTATTACACGAAACATCTGCCCGTGACAAATGTAAGGGTCACTAAAACGTAAGGAAGCATGACCTCTTGGTGATGTCTTACATTTCCGCTAAGCGTTACTTTGGGATTGTTGTTCTTTTTCATCAACCGTGCTTGGGACTTAGCAGCCACGGTATTGCTATCTGGTATTACTTTGCGATTATCCATTTTCTCAGCTACCTTCCTCACCTTCTCATATTGAGGTTTTCGGGTACTCAAATTGACTGACGATGCAATTTTACGAGGTGCAGGTTGATCTAAATCTATACGTCGTCTGCGCATTCTTTCCTCAGTGCCTTCAGTCACGCTATTCTGTAACATTAGGGAGTCCTCCACCCATTCCTCATGGTAAGTGTCTGGCTGATATATATTTGCGGTTCGATTATCCATTACATCAAAATCAACGTAATCTTCAATTTCATATCTCAAATCAGAAGATATAATTGTGTCATCATAATAATCTAACAAATTCGTCTCTTCTAGCATATTGTCATCACTTTGCTGTCTATAATCTTCATAATCTTCAGGGACATATCTCACATCGGAAGACATGACTGTGTCATCGTAATAAGGTAACAGATTCATCTCTTGTTGCATTATGTCGTCACTTGGTTGCGTATAAGCTAAATCAATTTCAAATCTTTCGTCACCAAAATCTCCAATTACTCCTCCATCTTCAGCAAGACCTCTGTATTCTATTAAATGATCGGTGGTGTTGGAAATATCTGTAGCACGACCAAGCCTATCAAATACATTATGTGGTGGTCTAATTTTGACCGCATCTTCGGCCGCTTCTGCCACAGCTTTATGAGCAGCTGAAGTTGCAGTGAGCAATCTTGGTTGATTTCTGTGAGCGCGCTCTTCAAGAAAAGAGCCCCCAGTTGCAGTAGAAATCACAGACCGTAGGCGCGGCATAGAAGTGGCAACAGCATCTCGTACAGCAAATTGAAGCAGCCTTCTTGGTGCCGATGCAGTTGCTTCAGAAACTTCCTTCTGTCAAACATAAACAAACACATGAGAAGAGAAGATGCAAAACGAAGCCTTCAAAACCCTTCGAACTTATCAACCAAGGAACAAACACATGAGCAGAGAAGATGCAGTTGCTATGTGCTAGATGATGAGGTTCTTCTGCAACATTCAATCATCTCCTATATGAGCAGGAACAAAGAGGCTATCTGGCATTTAAACATCCTTTACTTAAAACACAACATATGTCAAGTAAATACACACTAGAGAATCCCACTATTATGAAAGTGAGTCTGAGAGACGAACGTAACCATAGTAGTGGAACACGTCCCTAATGCACTTGACTACTCAAAACTCAGATCAAGCTGTCCCACATCAGAATTACTGCATCAAAAAATCTGAACTAAGTCACCAGCCACAAAGCTGTCACATAATGAAAAACATAGGAAAAGGATGTGCCAACTGGACCATGAAATTAAACCCAGTGGTAGGTTAACATTTTCTGTGGAAGGACATCAGCTAAGGATCCCGCATAAGAAAAAGTCAAAAAAATATATGAAGCCAACACAGTGCCAAATTTCATATGGAAATTTTTTGACCTGAAAACAGAGCATGTCTTAGACTTTGAGCATCAGATCTCTTCTTATGCATGCACAATCTTATTGCCTTGTTGCGTGATCTTTGAATTTTGAGAAGATAAATGTTGTAACATACAACTCTTACGAAATCAATTGTTATTAAACTTTTGTGATACATTATTTATAAACTTTGACCGGTTATTTACAACAAAAACAAGAAATAATGTAACAGATAGATGATTACATTCTTCAATAAAAACAATCTTGTGGTGAGTCAATATTACATAGAATCACTCAAAATTCAGCAGGGAGTGCAGAATAGCTCTATCCCAGACAAATGAAGGAAGAAAAATGTGGAGAGGCCTTCATATAATTATATAATTCCAATTATTTGTTGTTTCCTTCTAAAAACATATTTAATTCAGTGGTCGTCAAGATGCAGTAAACATAAGAATAGAATCGCTATTATCTGTTGACATGACTGCCATAAGTATACATCTTTATAATAATTATTCTCCAATATGTACAATCATACAAGTAGTGAGTAGTGACTATATCGACATCCTCAATTAGTCAACAAGCAGTCAAAGAAGGTTAATTTGCCAATAGGTGTGTCATGAATTTGTCTAAGGAATTCAAGCTATGAATCAAAATCAAAGTGTACCACGAATCATAAAAAAACAAGACATGCATATCATCAAGAAACCAAAGCAAGAAATCTCATACAAAACTCGACTCTCCTTGAGATTTTACTCCTAGGATACAAAAACTGAAGGAACTAACGTGCGAAGAATATAGATTACAGAAGTCACTACTACAAATGAACTGGGAGGCGAGAAAATTCACCTTCCCTGGACGTCGCTCCTCATGTCGCCTTCTTTTCTTCTCAGTCATCGGCCGAGAAGAGAGAGACCGTTCAGTACGATCAACTTTCTGACGAGGTTCAGTCTGCACATTTATGTTGTCAGGCACAGAGCCTTGAGCAAAGGGGTTTTCAGTTTCATCTGTGTCCCTTACTAGACCTCTCCATTCACGCTTACGACGCTTTCCAGATGTTTTTCTTTCTTTCTGAGCATCAGAATCCATCTGCTGCAGCTCAGTTCCCTCATCCGGTTTCCCAGCTGCAGAATTTATTTGTTGGGCTCCATCTGGACGAAGTTCCGGTGTTTGCACATACAAACTTAGATTAGATCCTAGATGATCCCAGAGCCTAGGGGGGGAAAAAGTTAAAACATTTATTAGAGATAATGATTAGATATTCATCAACTATTGGATATTTTTTGTAGTTCCAGTCGTGAAACAGCCTTACCAAGATACAAAAGAGTCGCTGTCATCTCCAAGAAACACATTCAACTCACTCTTTGCTTCGTCCTTGCGCCTACCATTCTTAAGCAAAACTATGACATATTCCTAGATAGTAGAGACACATCACAAAAATCAACAATTAATAGAGGGAAAGGGCAGATCATAAGCCAATAACATGGAAACCAATCGAATTCGTCAATGGATAGGCAAATTATAACAATACAAACACCTCGGTAATGCAATATTGAAAAAATAACATGGATCAGTAAAACAATATTTCAAAGACCAGTGTAGAAAAAGTTAATTAAAATAATAGACCAAAATAAGATATGCACAATTTGCAATGACCCCAACATTAGAGGGAAAACAGAAGAAAAAAATGACCTCGAACCCAAAAATATAAATACGCTAGTCTGAATAAACTAATCTAAAGATAATGCCGTAAATAACTAACCCTAAATTTCAAGATAAAAATATGAAACAGAAAAAAATATCTTCATTTACAATTGCATTATGTCAGAGCTATGAAAAGCAGGGATATGCATGCCTAACTAAGTTTTATTAGTGCTTGTTGACATGCATCGACTCCTTACAACAGGTCAGGCTTAGAGAAAGAAAACACAGTAACACCATCCAGAAATTCAACATGGAAGATTTTGTCAACTTTTTCCATAATGCGGAAAAACAGAAATCAGAAGCATCTAGCAGGAAATATAGAGGGATATCATCCGCGGAGAACTAAAAACAAGAGAGTAATGATCAAAGGGCAAGGGAGCATTTTTCAAGTTGCCTTTACCCAACACGGAAAAAATGGAGAAGGTAAAAGCAACCAGAAACAGAGGAGATGTACATATTTGTAGTCACTGATTCAAGAAGAAAGCAATTATATAGAGGCTAAAAGTTACAAAAACGTAAAAGTAATGTCAGTATGTATATATTCCTAAAAAAAATCTTCAGCAAGTATAGCACCGCACAAAACAATGCTGAACTAATTGAAGAAACCAAGTACAGAGGAAAGAGTCGAAATCTGTTATCAGCCCATATTCTTTGTCTTAAATCCTGAACTCATCTTGTGCTCTATACTAACTCATCCCATGATTAACAACATAAGCAACTCTTGATGAAAAACTTACTTAACCTAAATGCCAACAAAAAGCATAGAAAATTTCCTGCATTCTCAAGCTGCTTGTACCACAACCTAACGTTAACCTACATTGCTCTAGTCTGAAAGCTTAGTGATTATTAATTATCAAATAGATGCACATATACTACAATTTTACTGAAAAGAATCGACTGAATTTCCTGACAAAGTATTGCACGTCGTCGCAGAGCTAAACCAAATTACAAAATTCACACAATGTCTTTTTTTCCATACTATCCGAAATCATATCATTTTCCAATTTCTAATTCGTCGACATCCTCTCCACCACACGAAAACAAATATAATAGTGATTACCGCCCATAATACCACTGAATAATTAATTTAGCAGTGAGTTCTTAACTGGATGTTAAGTAAGAACAACAGCTGCAATACAATGATTCTCAAAAACAGGGACTGACACACTCATAATATGTGGTTTCAGAAACAAAAAAAAAAAAAAAAAAAAATTAAAAAACATTTTGAAGAAATCGCTAATGAAATTCAATTTGCGATACCACGAGAGTGTCGTCGGTGTAATCGCCCATAAATTCTTTGAGCTTCTCATTAACTTGCTCGCGAAGCCTAGAAACACCTTCGCTCGTGAAATCCGTCCTGAATGTACGATCATCGTTCTCCTTCTCCATTAACGCAAAACCACCAGTAAAAACCCTAGCCACAATTCCTCCTTCTCCCAAATGTTCAGTCCTCTGTTGATTTCCCGATCATCATCAAGCGAAAAAACAACAGTCACTCTGCACTGGGTAAAACTCAAAATCTCCGTACGTGAAAAATAAAATAATATCGTCTATGGCGATTGATGAATTAATAGTAAATTATTTTTCTTTTTTTCCTTTTTTTGGAAAATAAAATTGCATAATCTTATTTGATTTGAGAGAAAAATTGGCAAGTTTCGCGGCTGATGTAGAGAGCAATGGTTGAATTATTTTACTGGGGCTGTGAGATTTATATAACCCTACGTGAAATCTGGTGGCCTGTTTGGAGGGGGCGGGGGTAAAATTGGGAAACCTCGTGAGTTCTTTTCACATGTTTTTAATTTTGGATAAATTAATGCCTAATTCCTGAGATAATAACTGTATTTTTTTGGATAACTATTACTATTATCCTGTACTATGAATCTTCTTACATGTTCACCCTTATGGTGTCAAATTGAAAATAATCTTCTACATTTTGTGAATGTTCTTTAGTTTATACTCATTTTGTACAAAAATACAGTTTCTGATACACCACAATCCGATATTTACAAGTCAAGAAACACATCTTATGATCATCTTGTTTCAAAATATGAAGCTCAAATGGCTAAAACAGATACAAACTAAAGAATATTTCACATAACTTATAAGATTCCACTAAATTTGCAGAGTGAGGTTGGACATAAGTTGAATACCTAAGTCAGTCCCATATTTGATAGAGAAAAAGAGAGAATCTCGAGAGCATGAAAAGATATTAAAAGCATAATTAATCTACATGTAATGATAATTATAGGGTAAATTACGGTCACTTTTTCTAGGTAAGGTTAAATTACAAAAAAAAACTTATGTTTGGGTAGTTACAATTATCATCAATTACGAATCTTTTTACACGTTAATTCCATGGTGTCAAATTTAGTGGAATCTTCTTGATAATGTGGAACATTCTCTAGTATATACCCGTTTTACCTCATTTGAACTCCACATTTAGAAACAAAATGGCCATAAGATGTGTCTTTTGGCTTGTAAATATCAAATTGTGGTGCATCAGAAATAGATTTTTTACACAAAACGAGTACAAACTACTCCCTCCGTTCCTTATACTTGTCGTTTTTAGCTTGTGCACAAGGATTAATGATCTCAATAAATGTTGCTTAATTTTAGAAAAATATATGTTCTTATACTAAAATGCTCTTGCCAATAATTAATGTGAGAGAGTGTTGAAGATAGTTAATAAGGGTAAAATTGATAATTACACAATTAATACAATATTGAATATGTAAAGTGACAGATAATATGGAACAAAAATAATTTTAAAAAGAGACAGTTATTGTGGAACAAATGGAGTAAAAAACATTCAACATAATCTAGAAGATTCTATTGAATTCGATGTCATAAGAATGGAGCGTGTAAAAATTTTTATAGCTGAGTGGGGTAATGTAATTATCCAAAACAATCTAATTTTCTTATAATTTAACTTTACCTCATTGAGGTGACCATAATTTATCCCAAAAAAAAAATTATTTCCATAATTAAGTCGGTTTAAAAATTGGAAGAATATCATCACAACAGAATCATCCCACTAATGCCACGTAGCCACAGATTCACCTCTTCAAAATATTAAAATCAATAATCCCATCTGGCAATCCCTTTCACGTTTCCTCCTAATCCCCTGCACCCATATTACCCAAAACTTTCGTGCAACCACCGCTCGATATCCAATAATATTCCAACGCATTTCCACCTCCACCACTCACAACACGACACGTGTAACTGGACCACGTAAACCAGTCGCACTCGATAACCACCGCATTTCATTTTATACGCCCCGCATTTCCACCTCTGTCAATTGCGTTTCTCTCCGCTTTTCTCCTCTCTCTCTCTATCTCCGTTCCTGCTCGCTCTGTAGGGTTAGTCTCTCACTTTCTCTCTCTATACGTATTTATGTGTGTATATATCGGTATTAATTGAGATTAATCAGGGGTTTAATTGCGATGAATTTGTTTGTCGATTTGCTATTTACTGCGTTGATTTGTTCGCCACGAATCAAAGGGGGGTTTTAATTTGTGCTCCGATGTTGATTAACAGGGGATTTGAAGCGGAACTCTGACAAAAAAATATTCTCTCTTTTGTCTCCTCTGCGAACAGGTCAGTTTTTATTTCGAGACCTTTTATTTTTTTAATAATTTAACCCTTGTTTGAATTTTGTACTGAAACCCCATCGATTTAGAGGTAATTCAATAGAAATGAAACCCCATCGATTACCGGCTATGTTCTTTAAGTGATTCAAATTTTACCTTTTCTTTTAAGCTAGTTATTAATTTAAGCTAGTTGCTTCTAGAGGAAGCCGATTTGCAGCGATATTAAGCTCTTAGGAGCAAAATTCAGCGGAAATGAGTTCAAGTTCGGTTCTTTTTCGGATGTTTTGTTTTCGATTTTGTTGGGTGTCGGTGGAGGGTGAAATTTTGGGGGTTCGATTCTTGTTATATAAAGAGAACATCGAGATTCAGATGAAATGATCTGTTCTGTCAAATACCACCATATTAAGTGATAAAAATGATTCCTTTACTGTCATAATTCACTTTTAATTTGAACGAAATGCAAGGAACAATGTTACTTGGAGGTGGTTCGATTTTCTCCTACAGGACTTGTGGGATAGATGGATACAGGGCTGTACGGTGATTGATGATCTTGTAGGTTTGAGGGTTTTAAGGTTAAAATTATCGACTTTTCACAGTCGAAGTAAATATAAAGAAGTGAAGTGGAGGATTACAATGTTGAATCATGTCTGGATATGCAATACCCCAAGTTGAGATTACTTTAAAACCTAGCTTATGTTTGTACACAAGCAGTTGTTTTCCCTTGTGGTGAGTAGTAGTTGTTTGTGGCAACTTTTCCTCTTGTCTTTGTAGCAGTAGTTGGACTGATATAGTGTTTTGAGTAGTGATTGTCGTCTATGATGAGCTTAGAGTTTAGACCGTAGTGCAGATATTTTTGTTATGAATTGATGTTGCTTTCTTATTCTTATCACACCTATCTTGCCCAAGTTCTATCTGCGTGGTTTAGTTTTTTGTATTTTTTATTCATCGAACTTGCAAACATTCTTCTGATGTGGCAAGATTAAGTTTTGCAACCTTTCGTGCTCTTTTCTATATCTCTTCGTTTGGATGTTTGATGTCCATAATAGTTCCTCCACTTCACAAATCTGATACTTCAAAGAATATACGCCTGAGTAACATGGTTTCGAGAGATCCGTACTTATGGTGTGGTAGAATAATGTAATTTAGTGGATCCCGCAGGCCAACACTGTACACCATCACGTCTCGTCAGAGCGGGATTTGGGATAAGTGGTATCTGTTTTAACAGAGAGATACAAAAGTCTCGAGCATTTCGAGTCAGTGTAAACTTAAAATAAATAAATTATTTAGTTGTATTCTCTTGATAAAGAGACTAAACTGCAAAGTTGACTTGTGCTTACTAGCTGAAATTTTGATGTAGTTCTCAGTAGCCTTTCCCTTCAATTACTTAGAGATACGCATTTAATTTCTTTTCTTTCTATCAGAGGTAGTTATCTTGCAGATGATTTTTTCTTAGGTGAAAAACAAGTGGGCAGAAATTGAACTAAACGAGAACACACATTTCTTAGGACTTGAGAATATGCCTAGTGACTTCAACTCTCCTTAGTGTGTGTTGCGTGCCTAACTAAGTCCAGTGTTTCCTTTTCTTCTCCCATTTGTTTCGTATTTCTTTTTCTCGATTTGTTTTTGTTTTTTTGTGTCGGACTGAGCAATAGAATTCATGTAAAGAATGTACCCAATGTACTATGATGGTGTTTATATTTATATGGTCTAAATTTGTCATGAAATTTACGCAGCTCCTTGTTGCAGGAAAAACAAGAAAAGCCGAAATGGAACAAAACGAGACTGGATGCCAAGCTCCTCAGGCTTCTATTCTCTGCGTGAACAACTGTGGGTTCTTTGGCACAGCAACAACGATGAACATGTGCTCCAAGTGCTACAAGGACCTCGTTTTGAACCAAGAACAAACCAAGCTCGCTGCTTCTTCCATTCAAAGTATTGTGAATGGGAGCAGCTCCAGTAATAGTGAAAACGACTCAAATGCTGCTGCTCTAACAGCCAAAGCACATGCTGCCGCCACATCAGACACCATCGTGGCACCACCACAAACCACCACTGCCGCCGCTCCTCCGGCAAGTGAGGAAAGTCAAGAAGCAAAGGGGCCCACAAGGTGCGGCACATGCAGAAAGCGCGTCGGTTTGACGGGCTTTAATTGTCGGTGCGGTACAACTTTTTGTGCTATTCATCGATATTCGGACAAACACGAATGCCCCTTCGACTATCGGACTGCTGCTCAGGAAGCTATAGCAAAGGCCAATCCAGTTGTTAAAGCAGAAAAGATCGACAAGATATGAAGAAAAAAAAAAGATATGCCTTTTCTTCGAATATGAATGCATTTGTTTTCATGTATGGTGCACCTCAAATCTGTTTGGTGCAGAAGTATAATCTTATGTGGTTGTTTAAGGTTTGCTTTGATGGTTTGTGTTAAGGCTGTGTTATTTGTATCAGACTTCTGTAGTGGCTTTCTAGATTTAGAAATAAATATTTTTTTTAGTTCGTTAGGTCGATTATTATGGTGTCGAAAACTTCGGTTCTTTTCATGGGGTTAAATTTGAAAGGAGGACCTATAATTTGATATGAAAGTAATTTCTTTTGAATTGGCCAATTTTAAAAAGAAAATTTATGTATCTTTTATCCTATATGCAATTTCAGTAGGGGTGGTATATTATTTGCTAATGCAAAACAATTGTTGGTACTAGTTTGAACATCTACGAAACACACATACGCACGGGTATCTATCATTATATGTAAATCAAATCAATGGTACATGATCATTTGATGTATTTTTCGAGTGTAGCATCTGTAAAATCGAAAAACATGGAAAAATTGCATTGATGTATTTCATCGAGTGTAGCATATGCATAATCGAAAAACATGGAAAAATTGCAAAGATAAGGGGAAAAAAAATGGTTACCGAACATTGTCTATTTTAAATGTGTTTTTGGGGTGGAAGTTGTGGGCCCTAGTGACAATTGTGACATAGTGTTGTCTGGAAAATAATAAGATATAATTGGATAATATTTGATACTATATAATATTTTGTTTGAACATAATACTATATTGAAAATTGAAATAAATTTTAGGTGGTGAGTGGTGAGTCTCATTTTAATGATATTGTTCTAAAATGGTAGTATAATGTAGATATAGATGACAAAGTTACAACATTGTCGTATAAAGTTTTTTTTTTTTTAAATAAAAATATCGTCATAAAAAGTTTATAAAGTTGGAAATTAAGAATATATAATCGGAACGAAAGTGCTTTTGGTGGAGAATAATAATAGAATTGTAAAGTCGAACTTGGCGCACATGGCTAGCCTAATATAATTTACGTATTTGGTACAATTTGTAAGCTATTATACGAGACTTTAGGAAAAAGAAAAAAGAAAATGTTGACGCCGTTGTGCGTGAAAGTGACGATAGGTCGACCAGAGCCGCGATGATAGGGGATAACTCGTGGCATTTGACAACTTTCGACGACGCGTTTAAACTGGAGCGTGTGCGGCACCGGTCGAAACGTGGGAAAACGACATGGAAAGAGGCGGTCAGAGTAGGGCGGCTGAGACAAACACCGTTTTGCTTTTGGCTTCTTCTCTTTCCTCTTATCATTAAAATATACTCTCAATTCTCTCTTTTGCCCCTACTCGTTTCCCATTTTACGTATAGCTGAACCAAATTTTTCATTTTCATTTTCATTTTTTAATATAGATAATATTAATTTAATGAATATAATTCCTATAATAACTAAGTGGAAGCGACAATTACTTTCGACTTGACTCGATGAAATATATTAAATTAGTAGCTCAATAATTTAATATTATGTAAATTAAAAGAATTTTTTTTAGTTCCAATCATATTAATTTATAGAAATTTAATCGTTTTATGAACACGAGTTGAGCTTTTGAGTAATTGACTTTTATTTAAATCATCTTAACTTTTCTAATAACAATGAAAACATTATAGAAATTAAAGATATGAAAGATAAAATTTACCGAATGACATTGAATTGATTTTTTTACATATATGCAAATAAATTCTATTAATTTAGTGAAATGTTAAATTGTCGAACTAATGATTTGTTATATTTTATCGGAAAAAACTATTATCTAAGCGAGATTATTAATTTATCAAAGGTTATTCCATAATAGTAAAATTAAAAAATAAGTATAAGCCATACCAAAATGTGATAAGATTTAATGTACAAGATATAATACGAATTTAAGTAAAGTTAAATAAAAATAAATAATAGATGGCAATAATTAAGCAGGCATTCACAACCACTTTGAATAAGCCACTGCAAATGCCGAAAGGTCAGGAGGGCAATTCCGTAAATAGACGAGGCAACAAATTGGTTGATACGCTTCTCTATGAGGCCATAATTACAACACCATTTTTACCGACTTTTCTCTCCCTACAAATTCCAACCCTTCACCTCACCACCACCCAACTCACTTCTCTCTCTCTCTCCACCTCTCCTTTACTTTCTCTCTCTAGAAACCAAAAAAATAATCTCTCATTTTCGATTCAGAAGAACAAAAACACACGAGAAAATCTCTTTCTTATATCAGTAGAATTAATAATTAAAAAAAATTAAAGCTTCTACAGCTTGTTAATGGCGCAGAAGACGGAGAAGGAAGAGACGGAGTATAGCAAGGTCGTACCTGAGACGATCTCTCTTTGCGTCAAATGCGGCGTCGCCGGTAACTGCGCCACCAATAATTTATGTCACACCTGTTTCAATAGCACCGCCCCTGCGGCGGCGGCGGCCGCCGCCGCTGCTGCAGGCGGAGATAAATTACCAGCTGCAAGCCACGTGTTTGTGGAGAAATCGTTCAGATCTAGCTCGTCTGTTAGGTTATTGCCGGAGAAGAGAATCATTCCGGCGGAGACGAGTCGAGATCTGAGGAAATTAGATGATTCTCCGGCCGCGGAGGCTGCGCTGCCGCTTAAGAGAGAGGTGAATCGGTGCTCCGGTTGCCGGAGGAAGGTAGGTCTGACCGGATTCAGATGCCGGTGCGGCGATCTCTTCTGCGCCGATCATCGGTACTCCGATCGCCACGACTGCAGCTACGACTACAAATCCGCCGGACGAGAAGCCATCGAGCGGGAGAATCCAGTGGTCAAAGCCGCGAAAATCATCAAAATCTGATGACCGGAAAAAAAAAACGGCGATTTGATTGGATAGTTGGTTCTCCGGCGAGAGGGTGGAGGATTTGCCGTGATTATTTATGAAATTTCTCTCCACCACCGCCGGATTGTTGTTTGAAGATGAATATCGTTTTAATTATTTGTATGCCGATTGATTGATTAAGGTGTTGTTTCAGATAAATTATCAAAAAGATTGCAACTCTTCCCCCTTTCTCATATACTTCTTCTCCGATTTGATAAAATGCATTATTTTATTAATTTATTTTTAATTCGCTTAAATAACATTTTCTGATGATAAAATCATATTTTTTATGTATATAAAAGCAATTTAATCATAATGCATTTCTTGTTGAAATTGACATAATATTGACTTTTTTTTTAATATGTTAATTAATGAATTCGGTCGGGATTTAAATTTTTTTAATATGTTAATTAATGAATTCGGTCGGGATTTAAATTGTTAGGGCAAACTACGGCCGTTCCTAAATCACCTAAATTGAAAATTAAAACTAATTTTTCACCGCAATTATATTGATTCGAACCTTATTTGATATACCGCAATTATATTCATTCGAACCTTGTTTGTTTAGTGACGAAGTAACTCGCATTCAACTAGGTGCACTGAATATATTAATATTTTTTATATAATTGTTTGTAAATCATATAATAGATGTAAAACACACTAAGTCTAATAATGTATGACAAACTCGATTTATCGACCTTTAATAAGAAAACTCCAACCATTTACAATTTAAACTGTTAGGGCAAATTTCGGCCTTCCCCAAATTACAATTACCTTCTCAGCTATATATTGTGCTAAATTTATCTACTGAAAAAGAAGATTTTTTTATAATTAATACATATTGAGAAATGCGATTATAATTACTCGAATAAATTGATGTTTTTATAATTTAATTTTTCCTCAGTGTTGACCGTGATTTGTCAATTTCTTATTAGTTATTAACTCATAAATAAAGTATTCGAACATCATGTCTACTCTAAGAAACTGTTTTTTATTTAAATTGTGACTTTAGTGAAATTATTACTAAATTCAATAATATTTACTAAATAAACGTAATAAACTGAACAAATTGAAATACGTTGAATGATATAAAATTAAGAAAATCAACAAATGGATTCATTACAATTCAAACAGTTTGTTTAATAAATTAACAAATATCAAATAATTAATAATTACAATTTATCGATTAATTAATTATTTTACTTTAGATTTTCGGATAGAAATGTCATCTGAAGTTGTCAGAAGAAGTCTTTGAAAGTTGCGGATACATGAATTAATGTGGGCAAGTGGATTGTGTGTCTGGAAAGTAATACACCTTCTCTATACATAAATTATAATAATATATATATATTTAATGTATTTTTCATATGTAACAATGAAATAAATCGAAAATTCGAACACATAAAAAACAAATTCACACGAGGGATTATTTTAACTGAATGCGTGTCAGATAAGATTAAATTAAAATTATTTTTGGAAATAATCTATTTAATTAATAATTTTATCTTATCTTACATAATTCACACTGTGATGTACTATTTATCTTCTTGATAAGAGAAATAAACTGGATTGTGCAATCCCCAACACATGGTATTGACAATTTTTTTTAGAGTGGGAAAATATACTTTTATAAAGCCAATTCCACTTAAATAATAAAACGGATTTTATCAGGTAACACTACCATGTCATAAGTTTCTTTTTTCGATGTGCGCCGCCTTGTTGCCTTCCCGTACAATGTTGGATTGATATTTAAGGGCATTACAGTCTTTTTAGATTAATGGTATTGAAAAGGGTAGAATTAGGGCTGCAAGTTGGAACGGAAATTCCAATTTCCGCCGATTCCGATCCGAAAAGTTCCGAATTTTTTCGATTTTTTTGGATTGGAATTGGAATTATATAAAATAATTTTGGAATTTTTGATTTCCAATCCGATTTAATTTTCGAAATTAATTTCGAAAACTTCTGATTATTTCCGAAAAATACACCTTATAAAAAATAAATATTATATAATACTTATTTTTCCGAAAAATACACCTATAAGTTTTGTTTTACGGTTTTTTGACATAATGAATTATTGTTAGAAATTTTCTTAGATATTATGTTGTGTTTATTTTTATTTATTTTTTGATCTGAAATTTAGTAGTTATTAGTTTTACTTTTATCGAAGTGAATGCTCTTATTTTTTGGAAAATTATGAATGTTTTAGAAAATTTCCTCTAAGTCTTGAAATTTTTATGCTCATGTGATTTCCGATTTTTTTCCGAAATTCCAAATTGTCCGGACCTTTTGAAATTAGTATGAATTTTTAGATTCCGAAAATTTTGGAATTGGAATTGAAATTGATTTTGCAATTCCTAATTTTTTTGGAAATTTTCCGAAAAGGTTAATTCTGATCCGATCCATCCGACTTTCACTCCTAGGTAGAATTGCTGAATAACATATTTGAAATCCATTGCAAAAATAGATATTTTTTTTTTCAAACAAGTTTGATAAATTTGTAATTATAGATTCCAAAAATTCTGACTTCAAATCCTCGAATCCAAACGACGAAACAGATTTACGCAGACAAGTTCGATGAATCTATTATTACGAATTTCAAATCCTTCGATCCAAATAAAGCATTTTTCATAGTTTTCAAAAATAATAATTTCTTATATTGCAAGGTGTCCATGTTAAGGAGCGCTTAGGAATACTCTACTGATGACATCAGTTAAGAAAACTCCATTGTCCGATGTTTCGCCTTCTTTCCAAACCTTAAAATCCGATTGAAAGTATTTCGAATCGCTCCACTTTTTCAACGAGACGAGTGAGAAGGGCCCACGTCTTTGCCCGTTCGGGTCTATATAGTACCATATAACATCGTCTAGGAATTCACCACTGCTTTGACCTTTGACTTTTGAGGCCTCATCGTCCGATTCATCATCACTTAAATCGATCACATTAGTAGTAATCGAGGGTAGTTTCGCCTTTTCTTGATGACCCTTTTCTACAGAATTTACAATTGGTTGATCGCCTGCATGTATTTTGTAGCCATTAATTAATGGATGCAAAAAAAACAAATAATAATTTGGAGTAATCGAAACCAAACCCTACACGAGTTACAAAAGAAAGAGTAAACTCACCGATTTCCTTCACTTGTTTGGGTTTCTCAAAGGGATCTTCATGTCCTACACACAAGCAAAAAACAGAATAGATAGTAAGTAATCCGTTACATTATTACTCAGATGTTTTTTCGAATACGAAGTTTCAGATTCTTGAAGCAAATTGTCTTTTTTCAAGATACTATTTCGACAAGGTTGTTCTCGAGAGAAACAAAATAGCAATTGCGACAAGGTTGAGTTTGCATTATACTCAGAGCGGACTCATGTTCTACCTGCTATTTTGTTACCGACTTCTCAAAAAAAAAGGAAAAAAAAAAACAGAAAGTCTACTGCCTCGAGTTTGACCAAATTTTGGATGAAAGCTGTTCATCGCATCAATTTCACGGCAAACAAAATAAAAAAATACTCGAGTTTCAATTTGATAAACAAGAGTACAAAGATCAGATTTTTCCCTTTGTCAAAAGTTACTTACTGTAGAAAAATAACATTAGATAAAATATAAATAATTCAAGTCTTTCAGGAGTAATAAACAATGATTTTACCATATGGGATTTTAAGAGGCATGATGTCATCATTGCTGGCATTGTGTATACTCGGAGCATGTAAATCACTGACAGGAGCTTGACATGGGGCTAAACTGCGTCCAGATCCTGGAAATTTAATAAAATACGAAGTTAAACCAGATAACGAGATTGCAGAGCAAATGACTGCAATTTTAGTATTTTACACATTTAGAAGTAGCATAATAAAGGTAAGATGCCACATAATAAAGAAGTCACCAAGAATAACCATCGTCGAGAAAAAAAGAATATACACATCAAGTTCGTCTCTGATTTTCCTGTTACGTTAAACTTCGACTCAAATATGGGTATAATTCTGACTCTAACTTCACCTATATAGAAAAGGCCAGTTACCAAGTCAGTGTCGGTCTTTCGAGTTTGATGCACTAACTATTTTTTACATTGTGGCAGTGCCCTACAGAAATGGTTGCCCGTAGTTATTTCATTCAAGAAAAAGTGTTTTGTCTCAACCAACGGAAAAAAAAAAAAACAAATTCTAGACGTACCCTACTAAACTTGTTTAGCACAAATACATTAGAGTTGAGAGTTTTAACTTTCTCAAGTAGTTACTGTTTGTTACTATTTAGTTCTGTAGAAAAGTACTTCTTAGATAAAAATAAAAAATTCGAGCCTCTCTGGAGTAAAAAAAATGATTTTACCATTTGGATTCTTAAGAGGCATGATGTCATCAATGGCAGCATTGTGTATACTCGAAGTATGCAAATGACGGACAGGAGCTTGAGATGGGCCTAAGCTGTCTCCAGCAGATCCTGGAAATGCATTAATGTGGTGTTAAACCCGATAATTATCTGGCATCAATGTTCATATCAGACTTCAGCAATTGGAAAAAAGCTTCGTTAAGGTGCAAAGTATACAGTCACTTCACATATATAATATAGCAACCTACTAGGAACGAATATAATACCTTGATATTTAAATTTTAATGTTTAGATAAGTTGCTGCTAGTATAAAGGCAACAAACATATGTTACAGCAAATGTAGAAAATGTAACGATTGTATGCCACACAAAATTGGACAAAATTAAATGCATAATTAAAATAAATAAATAAAATCATGTGATCTTCAAGACGAATTCGCGCATGGACATGGGATAAGAGATCGCACCTGAAGCATCTGTGCTGGAGACGTCTGAACTACCCCTAAGAATTGATTTAGGAGAAGAACCACTTTCATTTATTTTGTCAGAAGCGGCAATTACTGTACAATCAGGCTCAAGTTCTTCAGCAATCACTACGGGAATCTTGAGCAATAATTTTTCTCGTTCAGATGGGTTTTGTAGCGCATTCCTTCTCTCTATGTACTCAAACAATGTAAAGTCTAGAAGGTTAAGTAAACAGTGTTCCTCAACAAAGGAATAAGATTACATGCAAATCATAAAGCAAAGTAGCAAACATGCAGTATCGGATATGGTTTTTATGACCAAACTCGGATAATTTTGTTACTGAAATTCCAAATCTTGTTCTGGATGACACAGACGATTAAATTATAGTCCAAGATTCTATATATGCGAGATACACATTGATAATGAAAACATTACCGTTAAGATATAGAAAGCAACCAAGAGTTTCGACGCATAAAATATAGGGTTATGAAAGGATATTCTCTTCGCCATCCTTTCTCATTGGCATGATCAATGCGATTCTTTAACAAGGAAAGTTCTTTTGCGATCCACTGTAATCAAATGAAAAGAAGATGGACTAAAGTAGTTAGAACTAAAACAAGTTTCCACAATCAAACCAAAATCTGGCTCACCGACAAACAGATAAATTCTAGGAGCAACATAAATTTGAGTAAATGCAATATCAGTTTCAGTTACCCTTTTACAGCAATGCATTTCTATTGGTCCATTACTCGTTGACACACCCATAAATGAATTTTACATGTTTATTTTCTAATATCACATCCTTAAACACAATAAATGGAATTAGGAACAGACTTAACTTTACGCAAAAGTGTAATATAATGAGTTAAAAATGAAATCCCCAAGAAAGGAAAAGGAACTGGAAAAGGAAAAATAGCAGGACTTACATGATTTGTTATATCAGCATGCAACATTTGGGCCTTCAATTCAAGCTCGTTCTGCAATTATGTTGATGCATTTTTAAACTTTAATAATAGAAAAACAGTAAGAATAACAAAAGTGACAACCAAACAGATACAAAGATAATTATTTCATCATGTAAGAAGACTCAAAAGTCATCAGCGGTATTTATTGCCTGTCTGAGGATAATGCATCAAGTAAGGGAAAAAGCAAAGCAATTATAAGTTAATTAAGTGTAATGTTCGTTGGTAGCTAGACTTATAACGATTTTTCCACCACAACTATAACAAGAATAAGAAGAAAATATGATGCCGATACTAGAAAATTAAAATAATTGTGTACAATTTTCAGCTGATTCTCTTTAACCTAAATGTAGGCAGTTTTAAATTAAAACCTTCTAAAAAAATCATTGCCACTTGATGATTTCTGAACATTACAAATACATATTTTCAATCTCAACTCGCATGCCCACATTGCATTTTTAGGTTTCGTTCTGGGGTTTTTGGTTGCAAAAAGAATAAGGTACGATTGTTGACAGTCGGCCATATAGCAAACACAGCATAGTAGAAACCTTACAAATATGTAACCAGTAAACAAGCAAAAGATTGTTGACAAGAATTCTTACAACATTCAGCCGTTTAAGCAAGCCATCTTTCATTCTGTCCCGGACATCTTCGATTTCTTCCTTTAATAAACAAAGATGAGATAACAATCTAACAAATGACAGAAAGCTGAAAGCAATGTAAAACTGTGGAAACGAGCATTTACACCAAGAAGGTAGAAAAATCTACGTTAGTGAAGTGAGAGCAATATAATGAGAAATCGTCATTATATTGAAAACCTAGAGATATTTTTCTCTCACAATTTATCGACTCCCAGAAACCATTATCTCAATTATAAGAGGAGTTTTCTGAATTTCAGCAATATCTCTTATCCGGACTATTTCTTTGTTAAACCAGATACAACAAATCGTCCTCGTTCCAGAATCAATAAAGTTGATACTGTTATTAGTGCTTAAAATTAATTATGCATCCAAGCCAAACTAATCGCCTTTGAAAGGATTAAGGGTTTAGTTAAATAATTACCTCAGAAAAATTATCATCGGATAGCATGCATATAGGAACATCTTTAAAAAAGTTTGAAACTCTTAGAAGGATTTCAAGACCAACAACGTCGCCACCAGATATCTTTTCTACACCTGTGAAAGAAAGAATATTAGCATTCAACACCAGTAAATAACACGGCTTGTATATGCATGAAAACAACAATGGAGGAGAGATGACTGAAAGTAAGCAAGTCAGCATTTTCTTAAGAAATGCCTAGTCGCAGAAATTCGATAATGACGAGCTAGGGCAAACAAAAATGAATTTCAGAATCAAGATTGAACTCTTCAGTACTCGATTTTTTCCAAATGCTGCTTGGCTACGATGCAGTTTAGTTGAGAACATTTCATAGAACAGTGAAACGTAAACCATATACACCAATTACCTGTGACTTGTTGAAGCTGGAAACGATTCTTCTGATAAATGTCATTCGGGTCGGATTTCATCCTAACAAAGCTACCAACTATTTTAGCCTCAAAGCTTTCAGGAACCTTAAGAAGCTCCTGAATTAAACTTTTTTTCAAATAAATAAGTTTGATATTTTCAGGAATCACAGCAGCAAAGCAGCTTTTAGGAATCTTTGGAACCTTCTTCATCGGACCAGTAAGATTATTTTTCGAGCCTAAGGAGTTTTTTTCCCTCAAATCTTCTTCTTCCGAACTATCTAGGATTTCATCATCGGAGTCGTCGTCGTGGTTTTCGGCAAAATGCTCTTCCAGCATTTCGAATACTTTTATTCGGGACATAGATTTCTTCCCAAACAGGGCATAAAGCCTCTCGTCACACAGGAATTTCTTCTTCTTTTCTGTGCTGGCAAGACCTTTTTCATTTATATATTTGGCGATGAATGCTGCCACGTCATGTTGGGTGTGCTTTTCCCTCGTGTCCTGACCAATTGCTTCGAGAAATTTAATTAAAGGTCGAGATCCCCAACCAATAAACTCAATTATCCTTTTCCCAACTCGTCTCTTCCTTTTCTTACAAACAGTTGGCTTTTCAGATGATACCGCCACCCAAAAGTTGTCATTCATATTCTCAAGACGATATAAGAACACAAACTTCTCAGCAGTGCATAAGTTGTGACAAGAAATTTCTATCGCGTCCGTATACGTTCGAGCCTCAAAAATGTACACTTGACTGACGAGGAAAGTCTAGGCACTTCGACAGTAAGCACTTCCAGAAGTTCTGCGACAAATAAAAGCAAAAAACTTGTCAGCAAAAACGCTAAACGGAAATGTAAACCCTAATAAGTCTCGGTTCACATGCTTTCAGTACAATATAATTACGGGAAATACTATGGTTATTCAGAGAATCTATATATATCAAGACAACGAAAATGTTATATTAATACCTAGCAGATAACTCTAGTTATATTTCTCTACGATGCAAAGGATGCTTAATTAGGTAACCGAAGCAACAAATAAAGATAAACGAAAGCTTTTACTAATCATCATATTTGGGGAGTGCAATAAACATCTTCCCATTTGAAGAGAATGCAAATACAATGGCATCAATAAAAAACGTGTACCATCTCGTCGTTAATAAACTTGAATATCCGAACCAAAATAACAATCTACACTCGAAGTCATCGACATGGTAAAGATTTAATAATCTCATGAACAGATTTAATTACAACCCCTCTAACAAACAATCGACTATATAACTTTTTTTCCAAATCTGGGCATAATTTATTTATACATTGAACTTCAGTTACATTCAAATAGACCAATATTTAATTTTCTTTCCATAATTGACAAAACAAACATTCAATTGATATAAGCCCCAATCCCTCAATCCTTCATGCATGTGCGTGTGGATAAGAATTTAGGCAAATCAAAGCAAAATAAAATAAAATTAATTGACTCACCTAAGCACGAAAATCGTTTACTGAAGCTGCTAAGAACAAACAAACAAACAAACAAACAAAATGAACACTGAATTACAAATTAGATTTTAATTTTATTTTAATAAATCACAGCAGAGCTTCTACCAAACAAATTCGACGAAGTGATAACTAAAATCAGCGAACCCGAATCATAAGCCCCCCCGCAGAACTTTCAAATGAGAGAGAGAGAGAGATTACATTTGCAGAAAGGAGAAAAAATCAAGCGCGGAATCGAATGTGTGATGTAATCAATCGTCCGGAAAAAATGGGGAATTGATTTGAGAAAAAGGGGAAAGAAGAAGCGTAATAAAATCTGTTGCTGAGCAAAGAGAGAGTGTGCTGCTGCTGTTTTCTAAATTGAGATGTTTTTTGACAAGTGGAAAGGATTCGTGTCAACCTCTTTTTCATGGCAACTTTACCCTTAACATTTGTATATTTAAATATTAAAATATATGATTTTATTAAAGAAGCAATATGCCAAACACCCTTCATTCGAATTTTAATTCTTGATAAATCATTTTTTTATAAATGATATTTGAGATAAATCCAATGGGCCTGAAAAGCCATATATGCCCCCACTAACTATTAATTAGTATAATTATTTAATTTTTAAAAAAATATACCCATAATCTACACCCAAATCTTCTCCTAAAATTATTCCCCTCATCACGCCAATTCAGTTTTTTTTTTCCTTTTATTTTTTATTTTGTTTAATGGTTTTCTTTATTTCGAATTAAAAGAAAATTTTGTAATTATTTTATTTTTTTTTTTATTTTCGGTTTTTTTTTTTAATTTTATTTTTTTCTTATTTATATTTTCATGTTTTTTATTTTAATTTAAAAACATGATTTTATTTTTATTTTCGTTTTTTCGTGGTTTTTCTTTTTTCTTAATTTCAATTTTTTGTAAATAATTTTTTTTTTCTTTCTAGTTTTTAAAATAAAAACCACTCTATATAAACATGAAAACCACTCTGTATAAACAACTATATAAACATGAAAATCACTATGTATAACAACTATATTACATGAAAACCACTTTATATAACGACTATGTAAACTTGAAAACCACTCTGTATAACAACTATGTCAACATAAAAACCACTCTGTATATAAAATTATATATAAATCTGTACAAAATTTATTGAAAACCATTATAAAATTGTTGAAAACCACTATAAATTATCAAAGACAAAGCCTGACATTATGAAAACCACTCCGTATAAACAACTATATAAACATGAAAACCACTATGTATAAAACAACTATATAAACATGAAAAGCACTTTATATACACAACTATATAAACATCGAAATTCACTATGAATTCTAACAAGAACACATCAAAAATTCTGCGAAAAAGAAGATATAAAACCACTATAAAGGACACTCCGTATATTTTACGGTTATTGCTCGTACAATCACCATTCTTGATGGCGCATTGTTGCTGATGTATCGAAAGAATTTTGCAGTAGCCGTCCACGAGCCGTGGTATTAAAACACATCAGACCAAGTTCAACTTCACACACATATACAGGAAATGAAAATTCGAAAATAAAAAATCTTATAAGTTAATTACGCCATTGGAAAGGCTCTCATTCTGAATGCAAGAAAATAGGTTCAAACCACACAACAAAAAAAGAAACCACACAACATTCGTATCAACTGCACTTAATTCATAACCACAGGACATTTTCAAAACCACATAATTCAAAACCACATAATTAAATTAGGCACAAATCACAACACCATACTTGAAAACCCAAAAAAAGAGATACAACACAGACCATTAAGTGGTTTCAAATAACAACACAAACAAAATAACTTGGTTATAATATGTGCAGACTTTAGAGATATGTAATTCAGAATCACCTATAACTTTTTTTTTTCGGATTCAAATAGCCAGCACCCACATAACCTACTTAGCACAGTAAAAATAATGAAAACCACTTAAGATAATACCACTGAACATAGTCAAGACATGTTCATAATTAACACATCGTAACTAGAAATTGACGACGACGACGAATCAGATCAAAACAACTCTCCGGATTTCGAACTCGAAGATTCTCTGAAGAAATTTTCAATTGCGACCAAGACGACGCCGTCAGAAGCAGCATTCATGTTGAGGTTGAGGAGGCGTTGGCAGAAGTCGCCGGTGGCGACAATTACCCGCCGCCGGATTTTAAACGGCGGCTGATGGCTCGATTGCGCAGTGGTGGCTTGGATGCCGGTGGGCTTCTTTCTTAATTGGTTACAATATCCAATTTTTTGATTAAAATATATATTAAACCTAAATTCTTAAAAAATATCTGAGGAAAAAGAAATCGGGAGAAGAGGGCCGAGATTTGGAGAAGAGTTCGGGAGAAGAGAGGCGCCTACTATTAAAAGAAGAGAGAAAAGAAATCTGAGGAAAAAAAAATTTGATTGGTTAGGGGAACTCTCACCCTCGGCGAAGAGGGCCGAGATTTTTTGATTGGTTACGGGATCTCTCACCCTCGGCGAAGAGGGCTGAGATTTGGAGAAGAGATCGGGAGAAGAGAGGCGGCTACTGTTAAAAGAAGAGAGAGAAAAGAAATCTGAGGAAAAAAAGAAAATAATACAACGTGGGTTATAGGGTTAGGTAAAGGGTATAAAGGTGAACTAAATTATTTATAATTAATTAAATAATATTTTGGATTTATCTTAAAAAAGAAAAAAAAAAAAATTGGACCTCTCTTAATTGGACAATGCATATGAGGGGTGTTTGTGAAATAATCCCTTTATTAAATTTTCTAATAGTATATTTAATAATCATTTTTAGAAGACACAAAAAAAATGGATTAATTATAAGTATAATAATTATCTTTCAAGTACAAATGAGTTTTTTTTTCTCTAAATGAATTAGAAATGTGAGATCGATTAGCCCCCCTTCAATAATATAACATTCGTAAAATATGTTGAATTTAGTTTTATTTTTAAATGATTAAAGGGTCAACTGTTTTTTTTCCTTTCTTTTTTTGTGTTCTACTAATAGTTTAATTGAAACTTAATGTTCACAACTATATATAAACTTATAAGAAGAAATTAATTACAGAACTACCATTCAACAATAAACACATAAATATGTCATTTATCTGTAACTTTTAGCACTGTCGCTTACCAAGTAATTACAGATTGTTATTTATAAAATAATTATAGAACGATCGATCAATAAGTAATTACAGAACTATCACGTGGTGGTATTTAAAATTTTGCCACTCATCGATAACTACTAAATTGCCGCTCAATAAATAATTATAACAGGTAATTACAAAAACGATATTCAACTGGTAATTACAACATTGCAACTCTTCAAATAATTACAACACTCAGTGCTAATTACAGAAAAAATTGTCATGCACCAAGTAATTACAAAATTCCCATCGATAAAGTACTTACATAAATACTACTCAACATCATAATTACAGAACCGTCACTGAATAAGTAGTTACAAAATGTTCAATGCCACTATCCGCTACATGTGCACGACCCATTGCACAACCTAACGCTCGATCTAATATTATAGAGAGAGAGAAGAGAAAAGAGTGAGAAGAGATTTTTTTTCAAACCGAGAAAAAAAGAAAGAAAGAACGGCGTAGGAGAAGAGAATAAAATTAGGATTAAGGAAGTTATGCATTAAGAGCAACTCCAATGGAGACACTAAATGAGGTATCAAACTAAAAATGGGCTATATGAAAAATACCCCTCGTTCAATTTTGAATTCTTGATAAATCCATTTTTTTTAATTGATATTTGTTATAAACTCAAATGTGTGAAATTATCCAAAATGCCCCTATTTAATATTACTAAACATTACCATATTCTATTATTTTAAAAAATCCAAATCCATTATTCTTTTGGTAGATATGCAAATCCCCCTATTTTCTCCCCACACAATCCCCCAATTATCTCCCTGTCACGTCATTTCCGTTTAAGTTTTATTATTATTATTTTTATTTTTTAAATAGTTTTTTTATATCAATTTAAAACAAACAATTGGTTTTTTTAACTTCACTTTTTTAAATAGTTTATATTTAAAAATAAAATTGAAATCCACTACATACACATCGAAAACCACTAAATTTATCGAAATCACTATGAAATTAAAGTAAAAATTACTATAAAATAAGCATAATTCACATTAATATTAACACAATCCACTCTGTAATTAATGAAAACCACTCTGTAATTAACGAAAATCACTATGTAGTTAACAAATTCCATTACAAAAATTCACTAAAAACTTATCAATTAACAAAAATCACTTAATAATTAATGAA